GGATAATTATTTTTTCCTTTGCAAACAAATGTTAACAGACATAAGTGCCTGATGAGACTTTGTTTTTCACAAAATGGAGGTTGCACTTTTCTAGCAATAAGGCTATAGCAGATAAGGAGAGCAAAAGAACTAAACCTAGCTCTCTCTAGGAACAGGATTTTTGGGGCCACAGAGGTCTGCCAGGAAAACGGGGGAAAACTGACAATAGGTCCACTACAACATGAGATACAAGTAGAAATTACTGTTCCATGTATAGTAATATTCTTGTAGCTCACTATGCAGGAGATGCCGATGGCTGCCCACACCCACCCATTCATCCGACCATCCCATCATGCATCTACCTATGCATTCATTCAACTACATTTATACTCCATCTTTCCTTCAATAAGCTCAAACTGGCATATGCTGCTTTCCTCCTCCCCACTTGCTAGCCTCATAACACACCTGTGAATTAAATCAGGCTGTAAATGTGTGATTGACCCAAAGTCAACCAGTGAGTTTGACGAAGTTGGGATTTGAACCCAGGTATCCTAGAGGATTCCTGCCAACCTAGCAGTTAGAAAGCATGCAAATGCAAGTAGACAAATAGGTACCACCACGGTGGGAAGGTAACTGTGTTCCGTGTCTAGTCACATTGGCCACGTGACCACAGAAACTGTCTTTGGACAAACGCTGGCCCTACGGCTTGGTGCTCATACCTATTTTGGTAACAGGGATGAGCACTGCGCCCTAGAGTCGGACACGACTGGACTAAATGTCAAGGGGAACCTTTACCTTATCTATCCTAGAGGATAAAGGTATCAAAGATAAAGGTATCAAAGTCACTGTGGCTACAGGTCATCTCCAGGATCTGAGGCAGTATTCTTTGAAGTATCAATGGTTGGGGAGCAGCAGCAACTAATGGTATTTCACCCATGCCTTCCAAGTGGGCTTCCCACAGGCATCTATGGGAAAAAGACTGCCTGTGCCATTGATCGGATGCAGCAAGACTCTTCTTAAGTTCTTATCCATACACAAACTAGTGTAATTTTAAACAAAAGCAAAACGTCGTGGTATTTACTAGGCAGTCCCTTGGTACCGTAATTTGGATCCTGATAATATTGCATCTGTATTTAATGGGGGGAAAGGTTGTTGTCCTCTTTCATCACTAACAGGCACAATATTTTTTTTCTCTGTGCCCTCCAGCAAAGCTGCATACTTTAATATCAGACAAATGCATTCCATATGTTAAACAAGATGACCCCTATAATCTAGAGAATGCAAGAAAGTGAAAGGAAAAAAAGCTTTCTAATTATATATAATTTAAAATCATTCCTTAGCATTTTCAAAACATTGCCACAAAAGCATCATTAAGGGAACAAAAATAATTCTCCATCATGATGGGGAAGAGAAAGGGTCATGGACTTATTGATCTGGCATTGGTTGTGGGGAATAACTGGCTGAACTATTTTTTCTATTTTGGATGCAAATTCTGATTTATTTTTTTAAGGAAGCTAAACAACATACCCACCTCCACATTTCTGTACATGTTTGCTTTACAAAACAGCCCAGGCCACTCATACATGTCACTTCTCGTATTACACGTAGCATAAACATATTAAAGCATGTCAGATTTTCTGCAGTAGGCTCGTGAGGGCCTCAGGCAGGATTTTACATTCCCAGGTCAGATGAGGTCAAGTATTTACACACACACACACACACACACCGTATAGTGGGTCAATACAGACTCTAATTCTTATTGTACAAAGGACCCATAGAGGTTGGAAACAACAAGGATTCTCCCCCTACATGTCTTGCCTCTTTCAGATTGTTGTCTGAAGGCTCCATCATTTCTGATTTATTGGAAAATTTACTCCTAATTTACTCCTAATGAAAAAAGGCAAAAGGAGCCCTGAGACATTTTCTTGTCTCTTCCCACAGACATACTTTTCTTCTTCAACAATCACCATGTTTCCTGGTAGACTAGAAGTCAAATTTCTAACAGAACACTATAAATCCTCTATCTTTACAAACCACCAGGTCTTTAAAAAGAGAGAGACTAGACTTTTAAAATTGTCAGGAAGAGTTTCAGCTAAGGAACACAAAGCCTAGAAAAACAATTACAATCCACAGTGTTCTACAATCAAGACACTGTTGTTGCAATTAGACCAAAATGGAAAAGCCAAAAAAAAATAAAAAAATTGGGAAACCCAAGTGAAGAGCAATGCTACCATCTACTGGTGTACCTTCAATCTCTAAAGCCAATATTCTTGTGATGAGTGAATTTAACAGAGCCTGTACAAAAGAGTATCTACACTGTTTGCTGAGGAATAATGGGAAATAGCAAAAAAGTTCTGAAAAATGCACACATAATGGAAATATAAATCTAGACTATTGATCTTATGTGCTGCCAAGTTGTTTCTTATGGTGACCCTAATAGGGTTTCAAGGTATGTAAGATATCCAAGGGATGTTTTACCGTTGCCAACTCCTGTGAGTTTCCATGACCAAGCAAGGATGTGATCCTAGGTTTAATGAGTCCAACACTTTACATGCATTATGCAACACTGGCTCCCACTGAACAAGTATTCAGTGGAATTTTCACATTTTGTGTACACTACACCCAAACATCAACATTCTGAATTACAAATCTGAACTCTTCAAGTTGTGCAAACCAAGCAAATTAAATAGATAGGAAGATTGAACAGAATCTGCACCCCACTCACACGCATACAATTGTGAGTAGTTCTTGGTGAAGGTATTAGGCAATGCAACTGAGAATAGGATTTGTGTCCTACTGTGAACCATTGTTGGTCATGGAAAAATATTATATGCTACATACAAACTGAAACATATAAGATTCTTAATATACTGGATTTTGGGCTTGAGTGGTGACAATTGTAAACACTGACGATTGAAGAGAAGAAAATAGGAGTGTTTCAAACACACTGTTCCTTGTAATCTTGAAGCTCTCTTCCAAGTGTCATGCAAGACAGAAACCATCATGTGAGTTATACAACTCCATGAATAGAGGATACAATTTGACCAACACTATAACAATCCACAGTGCAGCACTTCACTTTCCTCTAGGGAAGTGAGTATCAGCCATTTATTTCTACTGGAAAAAATTAAGATGCACATAGAAGACACTGGAGATGCAAAACAAATCCCATACTCCTGCCAGCATCTGCTTTCAAGTTTCAGACCTACAGTAGACATCATAGGCCTGTTGTGGTTGTTTCTTGGTCATTTGCAAGTGTAAGGGAATGCCAGCAGCTGTCTCCTTTGTCTTCAATTTACCTAGTTAGAATACACCTGGGACTCCAACCAACATGAAAATCATAGAATGAAGTCCATTAGGTACAGGGGTGCTGCTGAAACCTTCAGTGCCCTGTGAGTGCATGCAGAGTACTACACTTTGGCCTATGTCCAAGGTTTGTACCAGCAAAGAGTATAATTTTCTAGGGTGTAACAGTGACTGTTATCATGCATTTAGGACAGCTAACTTTTAGGCTAAAAGGTAACTGCTGCACTTCCAGGGGTATGCTGCTATCCATTGCAAATATCTCCCCTTGCAATAAACCATGGTGAACTGTTTTGTAGAAGGGGAGAAGAAACATCCTCAAAAAAATGAAATAGTGAGAACACCAGAGTGATTACCCACCTTTGAATACCCACAATGAAGGTAACACAGCATTTTTATGTGAAGAGTTGTCCAATCACATAGCCCTTTTCTGTAGCCAGGACTGTTAGTATTACAGTGGTGCCTCGCTTGACGACGATAATCCGTTCCAGCAAAATTGCTGTAGAAAAAAATCGTTGTCAAGCGAAAGTAAAAAACCCATTGAAATGCATTGAAAACTGGTTCAATGTGTTCCAATGGGCGAAATACCTCAGCATCCGGTGAATATTCTCCATAGGGCAGCCATTTTCCAGTGCCTGTATAGCGAGCAATCTGTCCTAAAACACAGCAGGGAGCCATTTTGCACAGCGAGCGGCCATTTTGAAAACCCGACAATCAGCTGTTTTGATCGTAGTTAAGCGAAAAATCGGTTCCTGAAGCAGGGAACTGATCATCGTTAAATGAAAAAACCCCATACAAACATTGTTTTGTGATCGCTATAGTGATTGCAAAATACTCAGCGTTAAGCGATTTCCTCGTCTAACGAGGTAATCATCAAGCGGGGCACCACTTTATATCACTGAAATGGTAGTGCCCCAGTTGATATAACTGTATCAGTTAAAAGAGGTTCACAAATGAGAACCAACAAAAGAAATCTATTTCTGGAAATATAGTCCTTACTTCTAAGATATAGTGTTAGCTGAACCCAATCAATATAAACTCATATATTGCATTTAACTGAATAACACTGTAATTGGTGGGATAAACAGTGCCGGTACTTTTTAAAAATGGGATCCTATTAACATAAAAATTTAAATAGAATGTGCAAGCTGAGAAATCCTATTTATAACCCACTTTCAGCTCAAATGTCCCAAGATAATTCGTAACAGTTTTCTTGGCTTCTTTCAGAATTCTGCCTGGGAGGGTATTTTTGGCAAGTCTGAAAGTTTCACCTAGTTGTAAAACTGGTCACACAACTAGTTAGGAAGAAACAGCCTGCTAGAGCAGAAAAAGTTTACAGGTTTGTCCATGTGCTCTGCATTTAGGCAATATACTGGCAAATTTGTATTTGTCCGCTAAAAACCTACTCTCAAGATTGTCAGAAATGTCATCAGTCATATACTTCTGTGAGTAGCAAGATTAGGGGTGGGCAAAGAACAAATTATAGCCTGCATACCACGGCCAATCCATTTTTACAGCAACATTTTTGCAGAAAACTTTACTTCTGAGGCTGAACACTGATTATTTTCCCATCGATCAAATCAGAATCTTCATGTTATAACACTTTTCACTCAAGAAGACCAGCAACAACTGTATCTTACTCAAGAGTAATAACTGGATGTGTTTTATTTTACACCATGATGTGAGAATATAACAACTGTTTAATAAAAGTATACACATTTGTAGCTTCACTCAGAATACACTTTTAATGCACATTAAAAAAAGCGTCCATCTTACAAATTGTTTTGCAATCCAAATATACAATAGCTTGGAAAACAAAGAGTTTAGAAAATGAATGCCAATGTAAAAAGACTACTTAAACCTATAACAGTAGATTTTCTGCATGGCTCAACTTTACAGTTTTCTTACTGCTTCATCAATATCAGAAATCTGTTCCTTCAGTTGGCTCCACTGTTCTGGATTTAGAGAGATACCTAGAATAAATCAAAACAAGCCATTAATGAGTACTATAAACTGACACATATACCCAACTTCACAAGTGTTAGAACTGCTTACTCCCACTTCACCCACCCAACCTTTTTCCCACAACAGGCTTGGAATCAATCTCCACCAAATATGAGTGTCTTAAACTCTCTATCTAGAAAACCCTGAAAAGGGTTGCCATAAATCAGAATTGATTTGATGGATGAGTAACTGTAGAATATAAAACAACACTTCAGCAACAATTCAAGAATTTGCTGACATGTTGTCATTTTGATTAAAAATAAGATTTTTCACTTCTTTTGGAAATGTCTAGGCCTTATGTTTCATAGGAAGAGCAAATGAATATCTAAACTTTAAACACCTTAAAATAGAAAGGGTTTTGTAACATTGCTGTAGCACGTAGGGAAATTATCGTACACCCTTGACCAAAAGAACAAGACACTCCTATCTGGGATAGTTTGTCCTCTTTCCATCATGTGTACAGTTTCGGGAGACACAAATGGAGCGTTGAGGGAGGAAGGAGACACCCACCTAGCCAGGCAGATCAACTGTGAAGCAGCTAGATTGCCCTCAAATCCCAAGAGTACAGCAATTATCAGCACCCAAAGGCTAACTCGATAATTAGCAGAGTCATTATAGATGGCACAGTCCAGACATACTGTTGCAGTTTCCATAAGCCTTTGTACTGTACCGAAGCACTCCTACTTCTACGGGAACTACCCAAGCACTGAAAGTGATGTGATTATCACCAAAATATATTACTGTCAGTGCAAGTGTTCCAGTCACTTTGTCTGACTGCACTGCATTCTACAGTAATCAAATGAAAACGTTTCTCTGACATACAGTTTAGACAAGTGAATGCAGAACAATGTACTCTTCTGTACCTCATCTGTTCTGGCTCTGTATTGACTGTGATTATTGCCGTCTGGTTTAAAATGAAACTGAATGTACTCTGGAACGCATTCAGAGAATGTGGGACATACTGTATGTAATGCCAAATCCAGTGGGGATAAGAGGAAATGTATGTACAAAGGAAGGAGCACAAGCGAGATATACACAGCTCTGCTTCTCGATTCTTCAACTGAAATCCTATAAGCCTGGATGGGACCCTAGAGCTGCTGGTGCCAAAAAATCAAGAGTCAATGATCTCTAAATAAACCCTAGTCAAAAGTTTTCATATCAATTTTCCAAGCACATATTTCAAAAAGAAAGAAACAGGGCTCAGGCTGATCAATTCATATAAAAAGAATAGAATAACCAGATGTGAAGCACTACAGAATTCCTATGCCTACAACAATTGTGTAGAATAAGTAATTTTACTGGATAGGTAGAATACTTACTGTATTTTTCCATGTATAAAATGACACTTTTTCCTAAAATCATTACAGGAAAAACTGAAGGTCATCTTATACATGGAAGGAGGCGGAGGCGAAGGTGCAGCTGCGCTGGGCCGCCCCTCACAGTAGCCCCTTGACTGCTGCCACCACCGCCGAATTGTCTCCTCCAGCGCCACTCACAGGCTTGCTTAGGGAAAGGAACAAGACAGTGATGTGAGCTGGAGGAGAGCCTCAGCAATGGCGGTGAAGGAGGCGATCGGGTGGTGGTGGCATCAGTCAATGGGCCGCCTCTCACGGCGTGGCTGCTCCTTTGTCTCCTGCTGCCGCCCCTGCCCAATCACCTCCTCCAGCGCGACTGCTGGGGCTCACCTCCAGTTCATGCTGCCGCCTTGTCCCCTGCCTGAAGAGAGCCCACAAGTGGTGCTGGAGGTGATTGGGTGGTGGCAGCAGAAGGTGGGGTAGCCGTGCTGGACCACCCCTTGCAGCTGCCCATAGACTGCTGCCGCCACCCGATTGCTTCCTCCAGTGCCACTGCCAGGGCTGACCTCCAGCTCATGCTGCTGCCTTGTCCCCTGCCTGAAGGAGCCCACGAGTGGCGCTGGAGGAGGTGATTGTGTGGTGGTGGCGGCAGCAGACAATGGGCAGCTGCGACGGTTGGCCAAGCACGGCTGCTCCTTCACCTCCAGCAAGAGTTAAAATTGGGGGTTATCTTATACATTGGGAGGGGGTCTTACACACAGAAAAGTACGGTATATTGTGGGATAAGGCACTACTTCACTCTGGATCAAATTTTTGAATGGGACCTTCTGTGAAATGGCCACCACAGGTAAAAAGCTAGCTTTTCAGGTAAAAGATTCACTTTGTTATATTAGTTTCTACTTCCATGGTGTATTGTTATACTACAATACATACCCCATCCACCCCGGCAAAGTGCAGGTTTCAGAGGCTTCCCCAGTGCATTTCCACTGCCTGTTTACCTGCTGGGCAAGCCTGGAGAAGCTTCTAAGACCAGCGCCGATCAGTTGTGAGGCGGGGAGGGGGAGGGGCTGGAGCGGAGAAGATGGCTCCCGGCTCTTTTCTGGGATGGATTCCTCGCAAGAAGATAGCACACCCTGCCGATCAGCTGTGCGAAAATGGGGCGTTTGCGATGATTGCTTCCCCCCCATTGCAAACGCCCCATTTTCCAACAGCTGATCAGTGGCCCTGCCGATCAGCTGTGCCATAGCTGATCGGTGGGCCTTTGCGAAGATCGCGTGGCCCTGCCGATCAGCTGTGCCATAGGGAACATTGCAATGCGATCGCAAAAGTGATCGCAAAATCTTCATCGCTATGCGGATTCGTCGTTAAACGGGGCGCCCGTTAAGCGAGGCACCACTGTAATATTAATTCTCACCCAGAATCAGAAGTAGTACAATATATTCTACCACTGCAATTCATTCTGCTACTTATGCAGACCAGACTTAGTGCTATGGCTGGAGAAGAAAATACTTGCCATGATGCCCTCTATACAAGAACTAAAAAAATTAAAATACAGGATTCCTAGCATTTAGTACTCTAGATAGAACACTCTATATTTAGCATATGTGCCTTATACCAAATATTAAGAATTAACAATCAACTAGAACTTCAGTCACCATGCAATAATGTAAAATTACCTTTTCTGCCAGGTTTCATTTCACCTTCTTGATCCATCCAGTATTCTCTAATATCAATTAGGACTTTGCCTTTAAAATCACGAACACTAACATATCTCATTTTACCAATCTGCCAAAAAATTGGAGAATTTGATTGTTAGTTCATTGAGCATATGTAATAATTCTTTTCAACCATTGACATCTTGTTGTTATATTTAATCACTACTGCAGTGGCAAAAGAAAACAGTGCGGAATTGTGGGGTTTTTTTCCTACAGATCACAGAATCAGGTCTTCTCAGTAACATTCCTCATATATAACAACTCAAAGAGACAGGAAATTTCATATTTTAATTGGTTTGAAACTTATTTTCTTTTGAAACATTTTTAATGTATTGTGATTTTCAGAAACAGTGGATATGTACAAGTTGATAAAACGTGCTATCAAGTTACAATGAACAGAATACACCTGAACAACTATGCTAGCAGAAAACCACTAATGCAAATTTCAGCAATGCCACTAATCAAGAAGTTGGCACTGGCGTTTCTTGTTGCATGCCAAGTCATGGAACTAGTGCACAAGAGGAAAAACTTTTGTCCTAGCAGGAATTCACTGATGAGACTCTGACACTGATGTAGGTATACTTGCAGGTCTAAGTAATAAAATTCTAGCAACTGGAACATAAATAATACAAAGAGAATATGAAGATTTAAATTGACTTGTAAGCAAAGGTTTGTTTACCAATGAAGCCAGTAAGTATGATCATGTGAATAAACACACCCTGGTTTCTGCCCTCAGCCAGGGGACTTAAAGCACCTGAGAGGCTACAGCCTTGCATCAAACAATAATATCAAGATAAAGGGGTGACCAGCCTCTTTCCTCCATTGCTCTTTATTTTGTTTTTGTAATATATGAAGGTAGGAGTGATTGGTCTGAGCAGTAACATGTGCATGCATACACATACACACACGATACATACATGCACAAATACAGTTCCTCTTCATGTTAACACCTAGCAGGAACATAACATTTGCCAAAACATATCTAGCTATAAGTAGCTATTTTTTTAAAAAAGCATACAAATATTCAGGGATACTAATAGTGTAATAATGTATAATGTAATAACAAGTGGCATGTGTATTTAAAAAGTCATGCTAAGTTTAAACTAGAGGCCTAATACATTTATTTAAAAGCACCAAATTAAGATACAAGTAGTTCCGAAGTTAGTGTTCAGAAAATAGCAACAAGAGAGCAAACATCCTGAAACCATTACTAGAAGAAACTGCAGCCTTCACAGAATGCTTATGTTAGAAAGAACAGCAGCTGGTAATTTAGTGCTGATCACAAAATGTGATTGGATGTTGGAATGGCTTTCTGGTCTTGAATTTGGAGACTAAGTTGGCAATTGAGTTTGTAAGTCTAGCAATCATCTGACAAATTAAATGCGTTTGATAAAAGAGTCTGAGAATACAATTTAAAAAAAAAAACAAGAGGACCTTATCTCTTTATCAATGACTGACTCTACAAGTCATAAAAATATGATTAAGTGTAACCATGTAAGAGTTTGGGATGTTAGGTAATGCATTTTTTGACTAAAACTTTAGAGTATCAGGATTTTTTCTTTTTCCTGGGTTTGGAATCTCAATAAAGATAGCTATACAAACATACAGATTCAATACAGTGGTGCCTCGCTTGACGAGGATAACCTATGCTGCTGAAATCGCTGTCAAGCGGAATTAAAAAGCCCATTAGAATGCATTAGAAACCGGCTAATGCATTCTAATGGGTGAAATACCTCATTGTAAAGCGAAGATCCTCCATAGGGCAGCCATTTTCTGGTGCCTGTCTTGCGAAAAATGCCTCCAAAAAACAGTGGGGGGCCATTTTGAGAGCCGGCAGCCATTTTGAAAACCGCCTATCAGCTGTTGAAAAAACATTGTTTAGCGAAAAATCGGTTCCCGAAGCAGGGAACCGATCATCGCTAAGCGAAAAAAACCCATTCAAACATCATTTTGTGATGCAAAATCATTGTGAAGCAGATTCATCGTTAAACAGGGTAATCGTCAAGCGGAGCACGACTGTATATCTTATATATCTGAAAGGATCCCCAAGATTTCTACCAATGCAAATGTCTAAAACAACACAGCCATAGCTATCAGCACTATAACTTTTAATACAGACTTTAGTGCAACTGATGTGTCTTAATTCCTTTGAAACAATAACTCATACATGCACTTTATGTTTTGCCTTGAAAACAAGTTTGCAAATTAGATTTTAGGAAGCTGTACCTTCTCTATTACTCACTCTTTTTTTTAATTCCTAGGTGTAGTGACCTTTCCTTAATCCATCAAAAATATCTTCCAAACATCCTGTGCATGCACATTAGGAAGACTTGTAATATCCAACAATAGTGTCTCTAATTTTGTTCTACCCACCCTCTTCTCATAGCATTTGTACAACCATCTTCACCTTTCTTAACACTTACCACTGAAGTGTTACAGCTGGAAACATTTTGTTAGAAATATTTTGGCCTCTATGTATTAATTCATTTTGACTTTTAGAATGCATATACAGTATGGAAGAAAATCTTATTGCAAGCTGTTGTTATGCAAGGAAAAGAAAGGGACATGAACACAAAGACAGCACCATCATAAAATAATAATAATAAAATTACTACTACTACTACTACCACCAATAATAATAATAATAACAATAATAGCAACAACAACAACAACAACAACAACAACAATAATAATAATAATGGGGGAGCTCGTAAGGCAACAAGGCGATTGGATACTATTTCATTTTTCTTCAGCACTCTTCTGAAGTGCTACCAGCATTACAGTTTTTGAAATCTTTACAAGAACTGAATACAACAGGCAAGGACTGTACTGCAGATGGAAGTTGAAACTCATAGAAGTTGAAACTCATAAGGTCACCCCATGAGTACCCGAGCTGCAACCTGAAGCATGAACTTCATAACTCATAAACATTATGACATACATCTAGCTAGTGGTTCTAACCAGAGCAGACCCTTAGTAGTTAATTGATTAATTAACTCTTCTACAACTTCCCTGAATTGAATGAGTATTTACTTTTTTTTACTAACACTGGATTTGTGTTTATACAACTTACCAATTAGCTATCTGAAGTAATGCAAGACATGATAATGAAATGGCTAATTCTAAATTCTAAGTCTTCATAATCTCATAAGTATACGTTTACCAACGCTAACTCTTCATTCAAAAATCTGACCACACTACAAATAATCAGGCTATCAAACATAGACCCATAATAGAAAGGGCTCAAACAATCTTTATTCAATTGGGCAGCTACTAAGATTCTATCTGAGCATAATTTTTCAGGCACTTGAAGAACATTTAGTAACACTGACTTCTGGGCCACAGTTCATTATAAACCTCCTTTCTGGGAACATCACACAGACCAAGAATTTTTTACTGAAACAGAATTACTTAATGTGCTTCCCATTTATGACTCAATAATAAACTGAGCCAGCTGCATCCAATGCAGTTGCTCACATTTTCCTGTTCAATATTTCTCAACATGCAATGCCACCAAACAACTCAAAAAAAGTACCGTAGTTACCAGAAGAGGGTCAATGTTCTCGTTATCCTACAGGAAAAAAAACTAACATGCAGCCACAAGGGCTTTGCATGATCTGAGACAATACCCCCCCAAGAAATAACTGAGAAGGAAAGCACTGGATACTTAGGCATCTACAGCCCAGAAAAAAAAAAACAAACCAAGAAAATCAAAATCCAAAGTAGATTTCAAGTCATATCCTGTTTTATGTTTGGACACCTCTGGGGCTTGTGCAGCCTCAGGTGATGATGGTAAAAATGTTGCCACTATCATCACCAAATTTGACTAGCCTTGTGCTACAATGACTGCCCTGATTAGACATGCTGACAGTATTAGTGCTCCCTACTAGTGCATTACAATGTCATGTTGTACAGTGGGGTCTCTACTTAAGAACGTCCCTACTTAAGAACAATTCCACTTAAGAACAGCTCCATTTGCTAAATTTTGCTTCTACTTGAGAACAAAAATCCAAGATAAGAACAGGAAAAAAAAACTTTCCTGCTCTTTTTTTAACCTTAGGTCATCTTAGGTTAAAAAAAAAGTTCTCCCCCTAGTGGTAGAGTACGTATTAACCAGCTTTGCATTAGTTCCTATGGGAACTAATGCTTCAATGTACGAACGCACCTCTACATAACAAAAAAACAGCCAGAACAGATTAATTGGTTTTCAGTCCATTGCTTCAAAATTAGCTTCGTCAGAAGTGCTTTTAACACTGTTCCCTGACCTAAGGGGAAAAAAAAGAAAAAATATCCCCCTCTAGTGGTAGAAGGCGGAATAGCAGCTTCCCATTAGTTTCTATGGACGGAAAAGAGCAGATACAGATTAAATGGTATTCAATGCATTCCTATGGGAAATGCAGATTCTACATAAGAACTTTTCCACTTGAGAACCACCTTCCAATACGGATTAAGTTCTTAAGTAGAGACCCCACTGTAATCACTTTGTTACTGGTATGCAGTACTGGGGAGTAAGTAAAGGAGCTGTTTGTAAGGTCTAGTGGTATGAGATTTAACAAGTTTTTCTTCCTTTTAACAGCCACAGTAAAGTTTAGAGAAGCTACAGCTAAGTTTCAGAACCAATGCTGTAGATACCATCTGACCATCTCCCATTTTTCAAGTTCAGAACAGACAGCTGCATTTATTTCACACTGTACTCCATCTTTACAACACCAAAATGCATTACCCGCAAATTCCAGTTATATAAGAGTCATCAGTTACCTGAAACATGTTTTCATCTCTGTTGCTACTTTGCTTGGAGGAGGCTGCACCTTTGGAACTCTCACCAGTCTTCTGTTTCTTTACTGGCTTTTCCTGTACAGCCTGTTTTTTCCTTTTTTCCTTGACATTTAAAAATCAGGATGCATCAAGAACTTACAGGAAAAGTGGGAATTACTTATTCATACCAATTAGTCTGTTCCCTTCCACTATAGTATTGATGTGTTCCAATGCACTGAGCATTATCTTTCCTGTTCCTATTTAAGGCTGTGCTAATTTATACGACAAAGCTGTTTTATTTGGCAGCAAAAAATCTTTGATAAATGCTGCTTTGAAAAATGAACACAGTAACATACCTCATTCTTCCAAAATCAGAGCACAGAAAATAACTTTCTAAATAATCAACTACATATACAAAAAAGACCATAGCCGTGGGATTCTTGGAATTCCTGGACTACAGCCCCCTTTAAGAAGCTCCTTGTGCTGAGCCTAATGGATGAACACCATCGCATCCATGATTCCCACAGAACTTAAGTCATCCGAATTCATTTCCCCTACCATTTAAAACAGCCATTCTCAATGGGGCCCATATACTCCCCTGGGGGGCCCTGCCACATTTGAAGGGGGCACAGTCTGGTAACAATTCTTCACACACCTTATAAGGTCTGTTATGCAATTTATACAATCCGGATTTGGCCTATACTTCTTTCATATTGTCTTTATGGCCATGGCAAAAAAAAAGTTGAAAATGGCTAATCTAAAAGCATAATAAACACTCCGGAGAATGTTCACAATCATAATTCAGGAGATGATTAAGTTCTGTACAAAGCAAAAATCCCGATCAGATGCCAAATACACTTCTCCCTGGAAATACAATAAACATTACTAATCCAAGACTTTTGAGAAATGAAGCACCAACATGTAGGATGGTCATGCTGCCTGCTAATAAAAAATTCTAACATGCCTCAAATGGCATTTGTTAAAGAGGAACTCTTATCAATGCAATCAATACTTGGGTTCCTACTAACATTTGCATTTAATTTAACGATTACTATAAAAGGTATGATCAAGAACTGAATTGTGAAGCTTCTTAAAGCTAAATACAATGCTAAGGGTAATTAAGGTAACATTCCTCTACCCATGTAGAAACATAAAACAATATGCATAGTACTGCAAAGCTTTCCAAAATACCACCTGTTTTATCATTTGATATAGCTACATGTAATACCTTTATTCATTAACCCTTTTTTTTGTACTTACTACTCACAAGTACAATACTACATTCCCTAATACACCAGCTGTTTGTAAGTAATTGTTTGGTGAATTTCAATGAGAACTCCTGATTCTTTTCCTCTATCCCTCCCACCCCCAAGAACAAGCTAGAAATCTGCTGAAATGGGAATATGTTCTTGTTTCCTCCTCCTCCCACCTACACAGAAAAAGAGGGCAGGGGTTGCACTCAAGACTATCTGTCCACACTACATGAAATAATGTTTAAATGTTACAAGCAAAGTCTCCCAAAATTTACTAAAATGTGGCTTGTTTTGTGTATTTATTATATGAGAATACCTTTTCCATCTATTTGATGCACATCTTAACAGATAAATATTGGGTTTAAAGAAAACAAATAGCACTACTTTGCAACTATAACATCAGCACTGCCACAGATAAAGTCAGGGCAGCCTCTCTCTGTATTCAAGAACTTGAGCAAAGCTTATTTACTCACCGACAGTTGATGATTCAGATGCTGAAATTTAAGAAAGTATGGAACAATATGTCAGCATTTCAGAAATTGTACCTTAACATGTTTGTAAACATAGGAAAATAATTAGACTGCTAAAAACAACAAAAAATACACTATGGCACCTTAAAGACCAATATGTTTTATTTGTTGCAAGCTTTCATGAAATGAAGCCCACTTCTTCAAACACATGGAAGGCGTAATCTTTCAGGTGTCACGAGACTCACCTTTGATTTCGCTGCAACACATATGAAAACAGCTACCTCCTCGGAAATTGCTGCAATAATACATGACCCCTGCACACTGCCTGAAATCAAGTTGTGTGGCTCTATGTGCAGAATGAGAATGATGTAATCATCAACCAATTGCTGCTGATTAAAAGCTTCCTTTGGTGCACATGACTTGTACACTATACAATGAAGAGATTTTTGAACCTCAAAATTGCTAACGGTGATTTTCTTACTGATGTTATTCTTGTAATATATGCAAAGTTGCATAACAGGATTATAGCTGCTGAAGGCTTTTTTAAACAGTCAGAGTACTAATTCTTGTATAGTTCATTGGGTATGCTTGTTGTGGGGGGTGGAAGGGATCCAATCTTCTGTGACAAGCACCTTTGAATTAAGCTGCAGCTTTGTATGCACTTAACTAGGGCCTAAATGCCTGAAGACACTGGAGGTTGAACCAGGGACTTTCCACGTGCAGAGTAGATGCTCTGTCATTGGACTACAGTTCTTCTCTTATGCAAGCATGTGCCGGACCAAAGAAGCATTTCAATGTACAGTAATACTCTGCTTAACATTGCCCTTACCAGCACTGTTTCATTATAACACACTTTTCATCACCTCCTCTAGAGACTGACAATTATTCTTTGGATGGGGAAAACTGCCCCCCTCTTGCCCCCTGCAACTCCCTTTTACATGCATTCCCTCAGACACAAACACTATCCACACAAATGTATACATGAACAAGCAGGCAAGCAAGCAACCAGTTGGTCGGGAGTTTTCCTGCATCCCCTTCTCACTCACTAGCCCTCTTCATGCAGCAAAAACAACCAAGTGCCTTGGGCTCCTGCACCGGCTCTTCTCTTTTTTCCTCCTCTCACACAACACACCCTCTCTTTCACATTTCTCCTTCTGCCCCCTCCCACCCTGTCTCAGCGCCACAGACTTGCAACTACCTCAAAGTTACATTTGTATTTTCACCTCTCCAATAAAGTATAATGTTTTAATGACATTCATTTACCACTTTCAGTTGGCGCTTCACATTCTAGGAAGGTATCCTGAGTGCTAACCAGGGTATTACTGTATTTTGTTCGTTTTAAATAGAAATGCAAAAGGATTTTGATTAGACAGAGCTGAAAACTATACAAGGCAGATTAAGCTACTCGTGGTAGTGTAAAAAATATGCTACATCTTAGAAATGAGATGAGGATAAATATTAGTTATATAATATGTATTTATTAGCCTGAATAAAGAAATGCATTTTAATTTTTATATTAAGAATGGAGAAGCACTTTGAAACGCCTATTAGAAACAAACACCTATTAGGATACAACTTTGCTTTTCCTCTGTGAATTTTAGACACCTATGGTTCATCCATTTTAATATTTCAATAAGTGATTCAAGAAACTCCAAATTATATGCTGGATGGTTCGTGTCTGTTCTTTTACTGTTTATTAATTTCTAGTAGTTATGTAGAAAGGTAGGCCAAAAAATTTAAATACTCACCACTGTATCACTTTCACGGTCTGAATCACTGCCGGATGAGCTTGAAGACACAAGTTCTTTTGATTTAGGCATTCTAGGAAGAAAAAGACACAATTAAAAACGCAAACACCTGACTCCTGCAATAAAAAAACTCTCATAATTTTGCAAACATGTGCCCCTTTTCAATCTACTTATTTCATTTTCAATTGGGGTCAATGGAAATTCAAAGTAATTTAGGAATTGTAAAACAAGGTATATTCTTGTACTAGGCCTACAGAAAAATGTGGCAGTAGAAATGTACAGTAAGAAAGAGATGAGCAGAGCACCACAGAATGCTTGGCCTTTACTGGCTCTCTTGTAGAAAGTAATCTTTAGGTTCTTAACTGGCATCCTTTTCTTTTAGGAGCTCACTAACAAGACCTCCCCAACTACAACTGATATTTTACCTCAATTCTGGAAGGTGTTCCACTCTTTAAGTAGCATAGATGCTCAAGGCTCACTATCATCTTGTATAAGCACAGTGAGAGAGCTTCACTTGTTCAGGCTGCTAGAAAAAAAGCAGCAAGAACAGCTTAATCGACCCCGTGTCTCGAATTTGCTATTTTCAGCAGGCTGTGTCCCACTCAAAGGGACTAGGTTCACAAGTATGGGAGATAAACCTTTTTTGCAGACAGTTAAGCTGCACCTTCAGTACCAAACTCCTTCTGAAGTGAAGTCAAGCTGGCTCAACCAAGGTGAAATTTCAACCAAGTAGCTGAAACTGTATAGTTCCAATGGACCTTTTTATTACCAGGCCAGATTTAAAATTGTTCTTTACAGAGTATTTTGGGGCTGGTTTTCTAACAGATGTCAGAATTTTATTACATTTTTATGACAATGTGGCACAACTAACAAAGCTCCAGAACAAACTGCCACAAGTTGAGAAGTCAGTGCAGTCTACACATTCCCCCCCCCAAAAAAAAACCAAGCTTGGTACTCAATTTACGAATGTTGGAAGGCAGTGTGAACCTCTAGCTGGCTACCTGGAATTAAACCCAGGGGATCAGCCTGACCTTCCATGGGGGGGTGGTGTTCTACAGCTTGGGAGCAGTGACCCTCTCTTATGTCCTCACTAAAGGCACTTGTGAAAACTGCAGGATGGAGATAAAGATCTCTTCTAATTATTTTAAAACCTAGGCAGGTTCATAAAGATACATGCAATGTTTTAGGTGCTACGTGTTAACGACTTCCTACCAGTAAACTTCACTATTATGCCAAAAAACCCAAAAACCTAGAGAAATTGTTTCAAGAAATTAAAAGGGAGCAAAGCAGGGGATAGGACTCTGTGCTCCAGGTGTTCGAATCTCAACTCTCATCTCAACCAACAAAGAATAGTGAACAGTTGAATCCAACATCTGGTGGGCTGCATATCTGCTAACCATAAAGTATGGAAGACAAGAGAAGAACTATAGAAAACCTGACATTGAAAAAAATGAAGATATTGGAAGTCCCAAGAGCTTTAGAAGGGAGGTTTAATCAGAAGATGCACATGCCAAACTGAAGGAACAAACATGCCACCAAGTGGAAAACAGTAAATGTGCAGCTAGAATACGGTACTGAGAAGTAAGAAGACAGTAGAGAGCAGATATCCAGCCCAGTGTAGTGAACAGCATGGCAGACGAGGGCTGAGGAGATCTGGATTACTATCCCTGCTGTGCCATAGAAACTCAGGCTGGTGGTGTTGGAAAAATATTTGGTAAAAATATTTTTCTTACCTTTAAAGCCCCACAAGGGTTGCTATAAGTCAGTTCCCACTTGAAGGTACATAACACAGAGAGAAAAGATTAGGCTTAATGGACAGACTCTTACCCAACTGTGGGGCACAGGCAACAACACTGAATGGAAAAGGTAGACAAAACGTAGTTCTGACTCCCATATGACAATAAGTGTGCCATAAATAAGGCCTGTCTCCCATGTGGCAACAAAATTGATAATCCATTGTGTAGAATAGGATGAGAACCTTCTTGCCCTTCAGGCCCTATCCTACACCACAATTGGCCAGGTTATAATGCAGCAAAGTTGCCCAGGCATTTAAGAGGACAGCTGGAGAGAAAGCTGAGTCTATCACCCCTAACACCCTGGCTAGAGTACTCAACCGTTGCCCAGGAAACGATTCAAACTGGAGAGACACCGAAGTGGACAAGTATGACCTGAAAGGGGAGGGAGAGAGCAGGTGGGCGGGCACCTCTGCGCCTAGCCATCATCCTAACCAAGGAGCAAACACACCAATGCAGAAAGACTTGAGAAAGCGAGGAAGTGAGAAGATGCTATGAAATATGCACAGCAAACGAAGGAAGGCACTGCATGTATAAAATGGCAGACGGTGGCGAAAAACAAACAAACTGGATGGCGAAGAAAGATGGGGGAGGCCGGCGAAAGAAAGGCCATGGGAATCCCCCCCCAAGTCCCCGAGGGCGCAGAGGGGGCGGCTGGGCGAGGAGGGGGGCGGTGCCCAGCCGCCATTTTCTCCCTCCCTCGGCCGCATTCTCTGCCCCCTCCATTCCACAACATGGCAGCCTCTCTAGACTGAAACCCCTCCTCCTCTCCCTACTCGACCCCCACCCCTTTGAGAAGAGGGGAGTCGGGAGCCCGGCACCCGCGAAGGGAGAAGCTCTTCCCCTCCAAACCGGACCCCCCTCCTCCAGGGCGACAGGCACAGCCCGCCCTCCTCTCGGCCCCTTATTCCTGTGGGGCTTCGGACCGCAACATGGCGGTCCCAACCGCCCCGCCGCGCGAGCCAAAGGCACCCCCTCCTCTGCCCTCCTCCCTTAAAGAAACAGCCCCGCAGAGAAGGAAGAGGAGAGAGAGAGAGGAAGAGCCCGACTCACGTTCCACTCTGTGCTCACCGCTCTTCGCTACCTTCCCTTACGGTTGCCTCTCGCTTATTCCCTACGCCACTGGAGGAGCGGAAGTGACGTCCTCAACTGACCCCGCCTACTCGGAGGACCACGTGAGAGCTTCTCTCAGAACTGCGCGAGCAAGCCGGTGCCTGGAGGAGGGTTGTTTTTTTATGGGGGTGTTGCTATGTCGTCTCCTCGTTCAAGGAGGCGGAGGTCTTTGCCTGTTGCTCTGCAGAGCGACGAGGAGTCCTGAGGCACCTTTCGCGCCAACGAATTCTCTTGGGCGTGCAGCTGCAGGAGACGGTTGCCCAACACAGGAACGGGGAGCGTGTAAAGCAATGCAACAGGCTCAACAATGGTGACGGTCGGTCAGTTGCCATTCAGGAGAATGGGCAACGCTTGGGAAAGACGAGAGATCACTGCAGGGACAAATAATTGGCTATTACGTGCCGTCTGGTTGCTAACGACGTAGAGTGGTCTTATGAATCAAAATGCTCGTGTCATCAACACCTCTGCTCAGCTCTTGCAAACTCCCGGCTGTGCCTACTTTTGTCGAGTCATTTACCTTCCTTGTTTCCTCTTGCCTTCGACTTCTCCCAGCATTATTGTATTTTCCAGTAGGAGTTGCCTTCTTAGGATGCACCCAAAATATATACTGTAGCAACTTCAGTTTAGTCACTTTTAGTGACAAATTCAGGGATAAACAGCTTAACACATCTAAGGTGGAAAAAGCCTAGAAATCCAGAAGAAGGTACAGTAGCTCCTGTTCTGGGACTGTATTATACTTCAGCATCTCTCATTTGCCCTTTAACTTGAGAGCAGAACCATTCTTCCAGCTTTGTCACCATTTGCTAACAGGTTGCCTGCACATTCTGCCTCCTTTTGCTCCATTTTGAGAGCTTTATCTAAATAGAGATAAATTTCTTAATACTATATAATTGTGCATTTTCTTAAATACTATATAACTGAACCCTCCTCCCTCTCTTAGAAAAGTAACAGAGGGTCCTGTGCAAACTAGGCCTAGATCAAAACATTTCACTAGCATAGGCTGAGTAGCAAATGGTATGACTCAGTAGAGAACAATGCCGAAGATCAGTCAAGTTGTTTTTTTCTCTTGCTGCAATGAATGTCAAAAGTGCTTTCCCCACAACTAAACATATTGTTGTAATTATTATAATTGTTATTTTTATTATAATAATAACAATAATAATAAATGTACAATAACCAACAATTTGCTAGCCTTTCATAATAGCACCTAAAATCATCTCCTTAGAATGGTCATACCTAATAGTAGAACTGACACTAGGTGCACATTTCAGCTTTAGTATAGTTGTGTCTGACTCTTCGCAACCCCATGGACCAGAGCACAACAGGCCCTCCTTGTCTTCCACTGCCTCCTGGAGTTGGGTCAAATTCATGTTGGTTGCTC